TGTTGTTGCACTTTATTTTACATTCATCTGTTTTTACTGTTTCCTGGACGTTTATTGCCGACTTCTTGAGCGTCTCTCTCTTGTGTCCCTGCACTGACCGGCAGCAGTGCTCTTGTTGGAGACTGATTCCTCCCACAGGAGACAAATAAAGAAACCTCGAACCTCACCTGAAGCCACAGTCTTCACCGAGACACGAGCAGCTTCACATGACGTCAGCAGCTGCCAACAGAAGCTATGGATGAACACAGAAAACACCACAACACAAAGCAAGAGGCACCAACTGTTCAGCCCCAGCTGCCCCACTCAGAGCTTGGTTGAGGCTTTGTGGCCAGGTGTGGTGACTGCTGGGGTCTTGGAGGAGGGACCTGGGTGGTGGACCATTCATGGGTGATGGGAGGCGGAGAACAGGGGCTGAGAGCAGGTCTGGAGCTCCAGGGCAGCCATCCTGATGTCTACCAGGTGGGATGTGGAGCAGATCTTCAGCCAGCTGTCATCAGCTCGGGTCTCCCCACAGAGGCTGCAGTACTGGTCCAGACCTTCTGGATCAATTTATTAATCCTTTGGTTTGTAAAATGTCTCGTTTTGTCCACAACCCAAAGAGAATCAGTTTGCTGTCATAAAGAATTATAGAAACTACAGAATACTGACATTTAAACAGCTGGAATCAGAGAACATTACTTTTTTTTCTCAAAAACCAGGGAATCAATGATCAAAAAGCTGCAGATTAATAGTTGACGACCTGACTGATTACTCACTACATCTCTAGTATCACCCTCAGCGCCAGGCCTGATGATAACTGAAAACACTTCTTTGTGGCTGTTATGGTCCCACACTGCAAACGTTCCATCCAGACCTGTGGAGCAGGCAGGTTGGTGAAGCTGGTGTCAGGTTTAGACCCAGTTTTACTTACATCTGGGTAGCTAATCCAGAAAATACAGATCCTGTGTGTGGTGCTGCCGTCACATCTTTACTCTCTGTGCGCTCATCTTTCTCTGCAAAATTCATTCCAACTGTATTTAATCTCAGATTACATTAAGGTGTGAAGGCCTCATTTACAATTCAGTCAAGTAGGACAAAATACTTGCATTTAAATAAAAAACTTGGAGAACAGTTAAAATACCACTAAAGCAAAGTTAAATCATGAAAACAGAGTATTTAAGTTTCAGTGAATCAGCTAAAAAAAAGGAACAGCTGGAAGTAGAACAAGAGAAGATTAAAGAGGATGAAAAGGAGTCAAGCTTCAGATTGTTCTGCAGGTTGTATGATACGATCTTCAGATGAAGTCCTGCACCTCGATGGAAACAGCCAAGAAGCAGAAAGAGCTCCGACATGTCTCTGTGCGCAGTAAGACGGAGTTTAAATGTCTTAAAGAAAAATTACAAAAGCTAGAGTTGAATTTCTTCAATTCACCAAAATGTGGAAACGCTGGAATGAACACGCACAACATTTCCTGAAGCTACCGACTGTGGCAGCGCTGCAGACGGCAGATATGTGACGACTTACAGTTTTAGTTTGTTTCTGTGTTTGTCTTCAGTTTATACGAATGTTTCGGCGCAATGCAAAAAAGTTATGCAACAGTTTGCCTCAATCATGTTGACTTATGACAACTTCTGACAAAGTGATTGAACCAGTGAGCTGGACTGAGTCCTGTTACAGGCATGTTTAACTAGCCGCTAGCCAATAGCTGGTAGCAGAAACACACGTTTTCACCACGATTGCTCACAAAAGTGCTGCTTTTTTTTACAGTGTTTGAAAGGAATTGAGTATCATGCTTATTTGTCACAGCTGGAACTTGTCAAGATTTTAAGTTCAGGTTCAACTAAAAAGCCTATTTTTTTATAACAGATTTTTAATTAAGAGTTACATAAAGAAAAGAGTTTATTTTAACGTGTAGGAGTTCTCCTGTACTTCGACATGGCAGTCTTTCCTCCATAAGCTAATGGTAAGAGTTAGTGTCCACAAAAATTCATATTTGGCCTATAGTCATGTATAACTTTATATAGAGAGACAAAACTATAAATATATATTTAAAAAATGTGAGTAATGGTCTCAGCCACCCATATAGATAGACTGTCTGGTTCCACCACTGCCTCCCATGTAAAACAAAGAAGGCATCACACTGACTACGATGATAGAGAAAGAATTATTATCGTGGAGTGGATGGCAAACATTCACCAACAACAGCCGTCTGTGCTCTGAAACACCTCTGGCTTGTCAAGCATCCAGGAGACTCTTCACAAAACCCAATCGTTAGCA